AATGGTCTGGAGGTAAATATTTATATATGGGAAGTTGTCATACGGTCGCCGGAAAGGTTCGGGGGTATATCGGTATTGTACCGGGGCCACCGGGAGGGGCCACCTCTTCCGGAGGGCCTTATGGGCTACATGGAGAAGGGAACCAGCCCAAGTGGGCTGGGGCACCACACCCCCCTAGGGCCCATGCGCCTAGGGTTGGGGGAAATCCTAAGGGGGGGCGCCCCCTTGCTTGAGGGCAAGCCCCCCTCCCCTTGGCCGACCCCCCCCCCTCTAGATCTCATCTAGAGGGGGCCGGCCCCCTTCCCCCTTCCCCTATAAATAGAGGGGTGAGGGGAGGGCTGCATACAACATCCAAGGCGCAGCCCCTCCCCTCCCCAACACCTCTCCTCCTCCATAAGAGCTTGGCGAAGCCCTGCCGGAGTACTGCAGCTTCATCACCACCACGTCGTCGTGCTGCTGTTGGAGCCCTCTTCCTCAACCTCTCCCTCCTCCTTGCTGGATCAAGGCGCGGGAGACGTCCTCGCTCCGTACATGTGTTGAACGCGGAGGTGACGTCCGTTCGGCGCTAGGATCTTCGATGATTTGGATCACGTCGAGTACGACTCCATCAACCCCGTTCTCTTGAACGCTTTCGCTCGTGATCTACAAGGGTATGTAGATGCACTCCTCTCTCCCTCGTTGCTAGATGACTCCATAGATTGATCTTGGTGATGCGTAGAAAATTTTAAAATTCTGCTACGTTCCCCAACACTCGATCCCTCTGGCCGGACACACTTTCCTGGGTCATGCCCGGCCTCGGAAGATCAACATGTCACAGCCCTACCCAGGCACAACAGAGAGGTCGGCACGCCGGTCTAAATCCTATGCGCGCAAGGATCTGGGCCCATCGCCCATTGCACACCTGCACGTTGCGTACGTGGCCGGAAGCAAACCTAGCCCCCTTAATACAAGCGCAGGCTTACGGTCCAATCTGGCGCGCGCCGCTCAGTCGCTAACATCAAGAAGGCTTCAGCTGATACCACGACGTCGAGTGCCCATAATTGTTCCCGTGTAGTTGGTTAGTGCGTATAGGCCAGTGGCCAAACTCGGATCAAATACCAAGATCTCGTTAAGCGTGTTAATTGATGTACCGCGGACGCCGACCAGGGCCAGGCCCACCTCTCTCCTAGGTGGTCTTAGCCTGCCCTGCCGCTCCGCCACAAAGTAACAGTCGGGGGCCGTCGGGAACCCAGGCCCAGCACTACCTGGGTGGAACCACCTGCCCCTTCAGCCCCATCTCTGAATCATAATCATAAGTATGTAATAGTATAGTATATACCCGTGATCACTTTTCGAGTGATAACGGCCTAGTAATATAGCATGGCAGACGGAGAAAAGTGTAGGGCCACTGATGATAAACTAGCATCCTATACTAAGCATTTAGGATTGTAGGTAAAGGTAACAACAGAAGTGACAAGGATAGGCTATGCAGTAGAATAGGTTCATCCAAAAGCAGTAACAACTACACTACTCTAATGCAAGCAGTAGAGGGAAAGAGTAGGCGATATCGGGATGAACAAGGGGGAGGGGCTTTCCTGGAAGCTCTATAGACAGATACTGATCCTCAACATGGTGAAGTAGTCGATCGTCGGATCAACAGCGGTCTTGGCGTGGCGGCGTCTATCAGAAAAAGAAGTAATGGAGGGGGAACACAATAAATAACAGAGTAATCAATTGCATCACAAATCAAGACATGGCAATACGCTAGGCTAGGGGTGACGTAACGTAGTACTATGCGATACAGGCGAAGGGGGAAACATCCGGGAATGTTTTCCCGGAGTTTGGCATTTTCTGAACAGATGAAAGCGGGGGAAAGATTCCATGTTCATCACGCTATATGCACATGACAGATGAATGGAATGCATATTCGGATTCGTCTTATTTTTTGATCATTTTTCATATGTAAATTATTTCCATCCGAGTTACAGATTATTTTATATGGATTTTCAAAGTTTTAACAATTTTCTGGATTTTCTAGAATCGTTTTAAATTCGAGTATTAAATTCTAAAGTGCAGTCAACCTAGTCAACTTTTAACTAAGCCAATAGGACAGTGTGGCTTGACTTTGTAAAAACAAGTCAAATACAAACGCAACATAAACATAATCATTTACAATCAATTCACGGAAAACATCCTTCAAATAGCTCGCCTAAGTTCTTAATTGCATTTGTTTTTTGCCCCTTTGCGGATTATTCGTAAGATATGTTGTTCATAAGTTGCTTCGTTTCTTGGCTCCAGTTGGGATTTACGTCAAGAGTGCAACGGGTCATCTAGTACTACTAAAACAGGAAAGCGCATGAGAGGGGTCCCTCACTGTACTCACCGCCGGCTAGTCCGGAGGGAGAGGGGAGGGGCCAAAAAAATGGATCTAGGAGGAGAGTGGGTAGGGGACGCGGGTGGAAGAGAACCACTATTCTTCCATATGATTCAAAGTCCTATGCTCTATATGGAACATAGGATTTTTCACATAAGAAATCACCATATGGAAAATGTTCATATGGGGCTCTTTGGATTGTAGAATTGCTTTCAAAATTCCTATAGGAATCCTTCCTTTCCTCTGCATTTTGGAGGATTCTAAACATTTGCTTAAATCCCATGTTTTCGCTTCCTTTTGACAAATCCAATGATATGTATTTTTTTTCTCTCATCTTCTATCTCGCTTGGAAAAAAAATCATGCAAAATTCCTATGGAGCATCCGAACAACTATGTATGGAACTATGGTGATTAAATTCTTGTATGGACATGACATCCATTTCCTATTCCTACATTTTTTCCCATGTTTTCCAATCCCGTGTTACAAACAGGCCTTTAAGACGTACTCCCTCCGTTCCATATTAGTTGTCTCTGAAATGGATGTATCTAGATGTATTTGAGTGCTAGATACATCCGTTTGAGCGACAACTAATATGGAACGGAGGGAGTAGGAAATATATAGGAATTTTGCCTTTGATTTGAGTTTCAAGGAAAAAACAAAGAAATTTTACAATCCACCCAAACAATTTTGTTTGCATTCAAGTGCACAAAGGACAAGGCAAACGTCATACGTTGCATAATGTTTGCAAGCCTAAGATTTTTGGCGGCTTGGGTGTGCTTAATCTCGAGAAGTTTGCGACCGCCCTTCGTCTTCGCTGGCTTTGGTTTGAATGGGCAGACCCTTCTAAGACTTGGATGGGGATGGAAACACCATGTTCAAACAGTGACAGAGATTTGTTCTCGGCTTTCTGGCAAAAAGGCTAAATTTTGGGGATCCCCATGGCTAAATGGTCTCCGGCCTAAAGACATCGCGCCAAAGATCTTTGAAGTGTCCAAGAAGAAGGCATGTTTGGTTAACAAGGCCTTGACAACAACTTCTGGATCCAGCAAATCGACACTACTCAGGGACTGACTTTGCCACATGTCCAGGAGTTTGTGGTTCTGTGGGAGATGATTGATGGTGTTGCTCTCAATCCTGATAGGAAGGACACTATATCTTGGAAATTCACTCCCAGTGGCGACTATTCGGTGACTACGGTGCACACAGCGCAGTTCGAGGGCCGAGTCCTTAGCTCAACCTCTCCCACAATCTGGAGGAATTGGGCTCCCCTGAAATGCAAATTCTTCACTTGGCTTATCATCCAAAATCGTTTGTGGACGGCAGATCGGTTACAGCGGCGAGGTTGACCAAACTGCGGACTTTGTCCCCTATGCAAACAAGTCCAAGAATCTGCCATCCATCTTTTTTTCCAATGTAGATTCACTGCTCGCGTCTGGACCGAGGTGGTCACCTGGCTTGGCATTCAGGACCACTCACCGCTGACTTGGCGCCACGAAGACACGGTTCAAGATTGGTGGCATATCAAGAAAGCTATTGGCTCTGTTCTGATGCTTCTCATATGGGAAATATGGAAGGAGCGAAACGCGAGAGTTTTTCGCAACACGGCTTCACCGACCACTATTATCACTGCCAAGATCAAAGAGGAGGCCCATCTTTGGGCGTTGGCGGAAGCCAAACACATGAGTGCAATTATTTCGCGAGAGTAGTCTTTTATTTTGCCGCTTTGAGCCAAACACATGAGTGCAATTATATCGCGAGAGTAGTCTTTTATTTTGCCGCTTTGCGGCTTTTGTCTAAACCTTCTTCTTAATTAATGAAATTGGCAAGTCTTTTGCCTTGTTTCAAAAAAAAAAACAATATAATCTTACCTTCTCAGGAGTTAACCTTGATTTCACGAGAATTTATATATATTTCACAATCCTTTGTTTTGCATGTAAAATCCTACAATATTATTGTGTTTTTTCTTTCCATTTATACGTTTAAGGAAACCATGCAAATCAAAGAAGCCTTTAAGCCTTCATCTACGCGCAAGCTTGGTGATGTGCAAGATGAAAAGGCACTAAAGGATGGTCTCTGAGCCTGGAAAACGAAAACAAAATTGAATCTTATAATGTTACAGCAGGCCAGAAGAACCACTTCCACAAAGAAAGGTTGCCCATAACACCTCCAGGCTACAAAAACATCTCATTAGTCTGAAAATGCGCGTTGGCTCAGGACAGAGGAAACACCCTTCAAGTTGACACAAATAACAAGGGCCTTAGATAGTTAGATCAATGCGGTTCAACTATGATACAATCACAGAATTATACATATAGATAACCAGACTTTACAGATGACAAAAGAGTCGCAAAGGTTGATAACTACACTACCAGAACATATGCACAGCACGATCCACGAGGAAGCGAAAAGAAACAATCACCTGGTAACTTCGCAGGTACTACCCGCTACTCCGCAGTCAACTCAACCATTTCGAGCTTTTGTGGCGACAGCGAATAGGAGACCACATACCCTGGTCCGTGGACCTTCTCTTTCCTGTGTACACGGTCACAGATGATAGGGAACAACCAGAACGTTTCTGTTCTGGGTGATGACAACCGGCTGGCAAAGCTTCATGATGCCTAAGCATGGCCATTGTCACCATGGGAATCACAACCTCATGTCACTTGGCATTTCCAGGAGCTGTGAAAGCTCTAACCGGCGCTCGAGGCCTCGGATGTAGTGGCCCAGCAGCATACACCTGAACAGCCATCACAGAAACGGGTGATCAGAGTTCACCTCCAACGTACCAATAGGCAACGTAGGAAAAGAGGGCTATAAATCCATTTGTATTATTACCAGAATAATAGACGCGCAAGATGATCCCGAGGAATAGATATGAGGGGCTGAAATGGGATCGATACATCCTCCACGAGTTCAGCACGGTCATCATCCCCATTCCCGTAATTCAGGGTTCCACCAGCCATGTTCTCTGATGGTGGAGGGGGCTTCGCATGCATTTTGGGGGAGAGAGTTGCTAGAAGACCATGTACCACGGAATGAATAGCTTCCTGCACACCAGGGCAGGAAGGTTCCGAGAGTTCGATAACCTGTAAAAAACAGTTAGTGGCCCAAACCAGACACAAAACAGGTACCCAGTGAACCTGAGAAGCTTATCCGCTGAGTTGTTCAACTAAAGGACAATAAGAAGCACTGGATAGACTACATGCAGAAACAAGAGGAAACATATTACTGCTGGATGAAGAAGTAGGAGATAGAACAAACCGTGTCAGGTGATAATGATCTCAAGTAGTCCAGTAACTCATTTTTTTCTTCTCCAGCAAACTGTTGCATTTGCAGGGAAGAATTTTTCTTCTTGAGTTCATGTAGCTCCTGCAGGATTGAAAATAGAATAAGCATCCCAATAAAATTCTCAAGCAATGGTAGATGAGTGGAAACTTAAGGCAGAAGATTAGAAAGAACAGAAATGGGACTAATTTCTCGCTGAAGAAAGTAAGATCACCTCAGACATTACAGAAACTAGCCTTCTTGTGAATTCTTGATACAAAAAGGTAACCATGCAAAAAATGCACCATGGCTTTGATAGCTAATACATTGGACTGCTCATAAAAATAGAATAAACATCTAAAACTGAGAACTCCCTCTTTTTTACTATATCTATCCTCCGCCTACTATGCTTACAGCCCACTAATCCTGAGAAAAGGACAGACCCAGTGCTACAAGTTCCCACACCAGGTGGGGTCTGGGGAAGGATTATACAAGGCAAGCCTTACCCCTGCACAGCGCAATGCAGAGAGGCCGCGTCGAACACAAGACCTCATGGCACAAGTGGGGAGTACTTCACCACTGCACCAGGCCTGTCCTTCGCACTAATCCTGAGAAAAGTAAATAAGAAATGACCATAATGCATATCTCTACTAAATAAATTTATTTATATAACCATTCCCAACGTTAATTGACAGGGGTATAGAATGGAGTCAACACAATAACCACACTACTGATATCCTCAATACACAGACATTTTGAAATGGGATATCCCGAGGTAGGAGAGACCGAGAGAGGTTGTGAAACAGTTGGAGTAACAATCATCTTATATTGCCAAATTAGGTATGAAATAGATGTTACCCTTTCCATAGAATCCAAGCGAGATTGCAATTGGAGAATATGTTTTTTTGCTTGAGCGTTTAAGCTATCTAATCCATCCATATTTTCTGATAATAAATTGTCATCCCTCTTTTCTGATTCATTAGTCGCTTCATCATCTTCTGATAATCTCAAAATAGATCCTCCCAAACCGAGGTCACTGTGACTATATTCAGTGCTATCTCTTTCCTTGCACTCAGTTTCATCATCAGACAACTCTAGGATTCTTTCAAGGGAGAGCCTGTATTCAGCATTAGATAGAGTGTACCTGAAATACAGACGAAGTAACTTTAGGTGATAATTATCCCTGCCATGTTTATCATGTTTGTGAGTAGGCAGTGCAAGCCAAGTGCGCATATAAGAAAGCAAAAGGTACCAAGCGGCAGGAGCTTGTTCAAATTTCCTGTCTTGTTATAGAAAAGTGAATAAAGCAAAGTTTTCGATCTTTTTCTTACTAACAACCATTATCACATGAAAATAAGTTGATCAAGGTCAGTGCTTCTGGCTGAAGTATGAATGATTAAGTTTAGCTAGCATGTTTTCATCTGCTGCTTCTGAAATTATGAAACAAATGTAGTCATTCAATAACAAATGGAAGGGCATGGAAAAAGTCAAGCAGGATTTGCACATTCTATGTGACAAACGTCTAAGTACAGAAGACAACAATTGTACCAGCATTAAAATCGTACACTCAAAGAAACTATGCAACATGAATCGGATTCTATAGTTCACACCCTTAAAACATGTTTTTGACATGTGCGACTCAAAGTGCAGCAAACTGTTCTGATAACTACTGCCCTTTTTACAGTGAGTAGTAACGTTGAATTCCGATTTTCTACAGAGATAATAAGAGCATGCAACAGCAGGCTACCAGCCTACCACTAATGGCGTACTTTTCCAGTCCACCTCACATAACGGGTTGACCTAGATACCACATCAAGTCATTTGCTACTTTTATATGCACACAATTGCAAAAGGTAACCATGCCAAAATGTGTCTTCTTTTGACCAGAGACAATCAAATTCAACTATAATCTATATGAATGGTATGATTCAGGAGAAAAGCATACCCTGTCTTTATTGAAGATATCACCAACTTGAAGAAGGGATCCCAAAGGGCCTCCACGACAACACGGAACTGATCAGACGGAAGCAGACCCAACATGCCCGAAACAGTCCTCTTCATTGCATCCACAGTTTCAGGAGGAACATCTCTCTGGACTACACTTAGATCCAAAGGTTCTACATCTTTTATCAAGTTCCAAAGTAAAGATTTCTGCAAACAATACAAGCTCGTCATGGTAATGAACAGCATCAGTACATCGACTCGATAGGATTAAAATATGCTAATCCTATTCTAGTACATCGATTCGATAGGATAGGAGTAACTTTTTCCAGTGGAAGGCTGGAAGCTCACAAGAATCTAATTCTTTGTCAGTGGGAGGTACTCGTAAATAACTTCATCACACCTGTCTGGAGACACCTCAATCTACAGGTAACCCTATTCTATATGCTGCTTATGATTTCAGCTTCTGCCTGCACGATCGTATTTTTTAAAATTTGTGTTGCGGAGTTGTACACATGATTATGAGTATATAATAATTTGTATATATTGCCCCAACAAAGGGGCAGAGTTTCCTTTCGCTAGCACGGACAGACAGACAGACAGACACCCGCTCCACGGAGGAGCATCGCCATCGGCATCGCGCTCACCTCGGGGAACCCGTGGAGATGCCTCCCGCGCGCGTGGAGCTCGTCCGGCGACGCCGCGGAGGAGGCCGCCGCCACCACGACCCCGAGCCTCCTGCGCCGGACGCCGCCCGCCGCCAGTTGAGGAACGGGGACGCGGAGGAGCCGGCTCCCGGGGACGTACACGGACGCCCCTTGCGGCGGCGCGCGGATGCCGGCGGAGATCGGCATGTGCGGGCGGCCGTCGCCGGCGGCGAGACTCCTCTCTGATTATCTGGCGAGGTCTGGCGCTTGGTTGGTGGGTGGTGGTTCGAGCGGGCGCCTAGCTGGACCCAGGATAAGCGCCAGCTCGGGTGCCACTGCCATGCGGGCCCGGCGGGACGTAACGCGTGGACACGCTCCGGCCTTCCCACGTATGGCCTCGCGTGGACCGTCGCGTCACGTTCACCCTCGCGTCACGTACTGACTGAGCACTGCGGCATCTGCGCCAGCAGAACAGGCCCAGTTCCCGTGTACCGCGGCACACTGTAATGTGTAGGCTCTAAAAGTCATCACAAACTCATACACTCATTTCTCTAAACACATGCATACCCTATCTTTATGATCATTTTTGAAAGACTGAATCGATATATTATCTTGAGATTGATGAAGTCGCATTCTGCTTCAATCTATAAAGTTGGGGCGGGGGGACAACCCCTTTCTTTCAAAAAAAAAATTGGCGAAGTCGCATAGAAGTCTTTATTTTTTTCTGCATACACAGAAGTTTTTGTAGTCGATGGAAACATTTTCTCCGGGAAGACAAACTCCGGCGTACAACTTAAAGGCTAACCATTTAAGCATAAATTGGTTGGCAGGGAGAAACATCATCACAAACTCGTTTGCAGCAAATTATGGATTAATAAAACACGCAAGCTAGTTGTGTTGGTTTAGCACGCGAGCTTTGTGAACCGTGATGCATGGCCGGTTGATCGCTGGGCCAAACGTGTAGGGATTCGTCTGCCGTGACACGGCGATCACAAATCACATGGTTGTTGGATGCAGGGGCGGCTAGCAGCTAGTTTGGTTTTGTCAACGATGCGATTTGTTTAGTGACTAGTGAGTTGCCGTCCAAGACCAGCTTAATTAGCTAGAGCTAGCCAACGAAGCAGGTTATTATTTTTTTTTTGCGGGTGAACGAAGCAGGTTATTTGACTTGTCATCAGACCGACGATACTCACGAAACAAATTCACAACGAAAACAAAGAACAAAGATTAATTTGTCTGCGCAGGATTAGTATTAGCCGTAATTTTTTGTCTGCACACGGTTAGTACGTTGACATAACCGTAATTTTCCGCAAGAAAACTGTAATTGTAAAATCAATCATATACTACGAGGTCGATCTTGGAATGAACAATTCAACAAGTTATTGCCCGGGAAAAAAACTGCACCGCCCCTGGGAGCATGGGTGCAATCCATGGAGGATTATGTTTCCTTACTCCTAAGTCATTGTTGCTGTCTTCCTCTCATATTTTCTCCGTGTTCCGTGCATCTCCTTTTGAGAACATTTCAGAAGCCATTTGATGGACCCTCGAGCATCTCCTTTCACTCGCATCAATCGTACTTTGGACGTTAGTCGTTTTGCCAGCATGTGTGGTCCGCTAAGCGGGTAAAGGCATGGCCAACACACTGCCCCAATGTGCTGCCCCATGGAACCACGCAGGATCGAGCTGCAGTATGTAGGTTCAGTGAAGTTTCAAGCGTGTCAATGCTGCTTGCAGAGGAAGTCGATGCTCTGGGCAAAAAGAAAGAGAAAGTAGCGGAGAACGGAGGGCGTAGGCATTCACGTCAGGAAAAAGGTGTGGCGGGACTACCTTATGAACGATATTTTCATGTACGATTTGGGTACGACAAGAGAGAGGCTTGGTTGTACATGTGGGCTGTGGCGCATGATGTAAGATAAATCCGATCATAACAATATCATACAAGGGAACAAGAAGAGCAGGTCAGTGGCAGGCTGAACCACTCTTCCTTTGGGTGGTGCATGGTTTGAATTGTGGTTTTATTGCTTCAGATAGATGAGGCTAGCGCTTGGTATGGCCTCCATAGCTCATGCCTTAAGAGGAGTGATGTTGACGGTTATCAGCCGAGGCAAATGGCGGATCAAGAAAAGCCATGGTGATCCATGCAATGATCGGGCTTAGTGATGACCATGTGTGTGATGGCTTAGATGGCAGTGTGTTTGGACCCGACATCAAAAGAGTTCCTTTGCAAAGGTACTGATGCACGGACGCTAAAAAAGTTTCCTAGATGAAAAACCCAAGACTTGGCCCATTTGCTTGAATTGTGCGAGGACGATGAGTGTCGTATCACTCAATGGAGGCATCACACTGATAACTAGAATCATTTGCATCTCATTGTTGTATGGTAGTTGTTAACTTGTTATTGCATATGGACGATCTCTTGGTAGTCTCTGACATATGATCTATAAAGAACTCGGTTTGACATGTATTATGTTGTAAATTTCATAATATGCCTTTTATTTGTCGAGACTATCAAATTTATAATAACATGATCACATGTTTTATAGTTGGTGTCGAAGGCAGGAGGAGAGGTAACCGAAACTTCCATTTCCATTTCAAAAAGCAACGGCAATTTAATGTCAAGTGCGATTCACTAAGTCAATTATGCTTTCAAACTTACTCGCAACCAGTGAGGGTCATGTACTGATTTTGTAAATTACTCTAGTCTTAACTTTCTCTAACTCGTCTTTTGGTTAAAAAAAATGAAACAATGGCAAACTCTTCGTCACATTTCATTGATTAAGAAGAGAGTTTTGATATGTACAGACAACACATTTTTAGCCTCGACGATCGCCCAATACTCGATTTTTTGTTTAATCATGGCGACGATGTTAGACAGTAATGAAGAATGGTTTCGCAAAACACATGCATTTCGTCTGTTCCAAATCGCCCAAGACATCAACATGAATAAAGATGACATGGCTTTCTCCGTCCACCATTGGGACGAGTCACTGAAAACCACCATTCAAAGACCGAATTGAAGTTAGCCCAAGAATTATTGTCCATGTCCGTCAGACTTATCCAATCTTGAATCATGGTTCAAATGCCATCGGAGAGGTGGCATTTAAAAAGAATGTGAGTGATGGTCTTTGGTTCCTCCTACATAGCGAACAAAGCTCACAATCTGGTCAATCACTCTTTTGGGAGCAATCTGTGGTCCAAACTATATCATCGCATATAAGCCAAAGAAATAATTTACGCCGGGGGAGGGGAGAAGGGAGGATGCAATTGTTCCAAATGATCGGCCGCATAAATTGTTTTTTAACCTTGAACCGTAGAACAATAGTTCTACCATATATTTTCATTAATTAAAATATGTACATGCTAAAATTACAAAAGGAAAACAGAAAAAAATTGCGCCTATCCAATGCTAGCGCATTCTAACGTGATCAAAATTAAAGGGTTCTTAACTTAGAGAGGTTTCTATCCAAGAATCAAGGGATTCTATGAACTGGGTCTTGGTTCTATACCTGGCTAGCAGCAGATCTTGTTTGAGTTTGAATTTCCATGATCTGAGACTAGAGGCTTCGTTCCTGAAAATGGTTTCATTTCTCTTCATCCAAATATTCCAGCAACGTAGGATAATAATATCCATATCAATATTCTCTGGAAGGGTCTGATGAAGAAACAGAACTTCATCAAAGCATGATATTTCTCTATTTTTATGTGGAGCTATAGACAACCAGCGGTTTTGAGCAAAGGTGTGGTCCCACATAAGGTGTAGGCTATTTTCCTCGCAGTTTTCATTGCAGAGAGCACAATTATAGGTGGGGATGTGGAAAGATTTCCTTCTCAGAAGACCCCTAGTGCTTACTCTATCATAAAGAGCCAACCAGAAGAAAATTTGATGTCTGATTCTGCTTGCACTCTTCCATAGCCATTTGAAGATACAGTGTGCTTCTGAGGTACCCATGATGTGCTTGTACATTTGTTTGCTGGAATAGTTTTTGCCTAGTGATATTTACAAATATCCTTTCCTCGGCTTATAGTAATTTGATACACCAGTTGATTGACAATGAAAAATTGATCATGGGCTTGGGATGAAATGGGTCTATGAAAATTTTCTCCAAGCTCATGTCCGCTCAACATTTGAGTCATAGTCTTTCTAGTGTTAATGGTGAAGGAATGGAGTTTCGGGTATTTAATTGATAGGGATTGATCTTTCCATCTGCCCTCCCAAAAAATGTGGTTTCTCCAGATGTACTAGTGCAAGTGGGTGCTTCTTTGTATAGTGGAATGAGCTTTATGAGGGACTTCCACCAGAAGGATCCTTCTAGTTTGCCAGTGGGAGAATTTTCTGTATAGTAAGTTTCCCAAATCAAATTTACCCAAGGAAGATTTTCTTTGTTCAAGAACTTATGGAGATTTTTCAACAAAAGTGCTTTGTTGTGGGCAACCAGGTCCAAGACCCCTAAGCCTCTATGTGATTTTGGCTTGAAGATTTTATCCCGGGCAATCATTGCAGTTCCAGCATCAGTAGTACCATATTTCCTCCATAAGCAGTGTCTTAGGTACTTGTTTATTTGTTCTACTACTCCCATGGGCAGAGCTAGGCATCACATGAAGTATGTTGGGAGGGTTGAATATACTGATCTGATTAGCTGTAATATGCTATCATATGAGACAAGAGTTGAGCAACCTAAAATTCTTCTTTCAATTCTTTGCATCATGGCAGAGAAGTCCTCGATCTTCAGTTTATGAGTACTAAGAAGCAATACAAGATATGTGAATGGGAAGGAACCCAATTGACAACCTAGAGTATTTGTTATAAGTGTGACCTTGCTAGACTCCACATTTATTGGTATGATCAGTGACTTGTTGTAATTTACTTTAAGTCCTGTCTGGGCAGCAAAATGTAGTAACAGATTCCTAACTTGGCATACTTGTGTTACTTCAGCAGACAACATTAATATTGTGTCATCAGCATATAGAATTATTGGGAAGTCTGGGCACGAATTGATATGCAGAGGGCAGAGATAATGTTGTTTCTCATGGCTTCATTAGCAATTGATTGGAGAAAGTCAGCAGCAAAGACAAATAGCGAAGGAGACAAAAGGTCTCCTTGCCTAACACCTCTTTTGCAATGTATAATTTTTTTGGAATTCCGTTGAAGAGGACTGCAGAAGTGCCTGAATCAAAGATGTTCCGGGTCCAACTAATCCATTTCTGCC